AGACTGGATCGGATCAATGCCGAGAATCGGAGTCAGCTCCTACTCCAAGACCACAAACTCCAGTAGATATAAGGCTCCGTCCCTTGAGTTAACCCCTTCGATTGTAGCCGAGCCCTTCAGATGAAGTCTGGAAACATTCCACATGCGCAGGCAAGCTCGATCGGATCGGATGCACACTCCAGGACAGTGCTTCCTTGGGAGAATGTTGACAATAACTCCCATGTCTAGCTTGAATCGTACGGCTTTGCCTTTGATCAAAAGACTTGCGTAGACACATTTTTGCGGCACCCTCCGAGACACGTTTCGAATTGAATGTTCTGTATCTGCGGGGGACTTGTCACGAACGACATCACTCACATCAGTTATTGGCAACAACGAGCAAAGTGGTTCCTTTTTCCACATCTGGTGCATTTCCGTCCCCACGCCGGACACTGTACACGAGAGGTCGGGTGTCGCGCGGCGCATAATTTGCAGATATCTTGTGTCTCGTCAATAGACTTCGCTGCTTTGCCTCCGGAAACGGCGCATAATGCTGCATCCGTTGCGAGCTTTATTTGTTTGTATTGATAGGTAGTCATGGACTCAATGTTGCAGAGATCAATGCACTGCTAGAGCGATAAGTTGCGTTGTCGCAAAAGCCGCTTTATCGTACTTTCATCATTGATTCCAAGAACGATCCGATCGCGTATGAAACTGTCACCCAAACATTTACAGAAATTACAGGATCGGACAAAAATCTTCAATTCAGTGAAGTACGCGTCGACGGATTCCTTTGGGCCTCTGTTGCGCGTAAAGGAAAGATAGCGCTGGTAGGTCACGTTGGTTTGACCTACACAAAATTCACTGAACTCTTCAATGACCGTCTCCAAATTATTGGGATCTTCGCCTTCGTCGTAGTGCAATGTCTTTAGAATACGGCGCGCGTCATACCCGGCTACGTGTCGAAATATAGCCAAGCGATACGCCATCGGTTGTTCATCCAAACGTAATAAGGTGCAAAAATGCCCCCACTTGCTTCTCCATAGACGCTGATTACTCGCCAATTTCCGTTCAGCGATGTTCAATGGGGCATGCATCTAAATAGAAGCTGGTAATCCAAACAGCATCCGAGCACCGCCGGTGGGGTTCGTCTTTGTCTTCTCTGACACCATGTTGCAGTACTCAGTCTTTCATAGAGAAGCGTTTATTCGGCAAAGACATCTCGGCGAAAATTACAGCACGTTTGGCAAAGCATACACCTCGACATAAGTTACGCGTTCACGTCCAAGCTAACGACCTTCCTGAGGCAATGAGGTTCTTCCTTTGGCTAAGTTAAACGATGATTAACTGACATGAATGTCGGCCATATATATATATATATTCACAAGTCTGTACGCAGACGAATGTGTCATTCGAACCATGGTGGCAAGGAAAGAAGAATATCATTTCCAAGGAGGAGAGTAAAAAGTTAGAGAAAGTTTTTTTTTCGGTTTCACACACGCCGTTTTGAGTTTTTGTTTTGTTCAACATTAAAAGGTACAGGATGAAGACATGGCAGAACAGCATAGACGCCATCGACTCTTACTGCGGACCATGTCCTCCAAGGTTGCCAATTATTAGGAATTCGTTTCGCGTGGTTCCCAGCCTAGGAGACGCACGGACCCACCTGACGGTAGACACGAAGTTAGAATCTTCATACTCCTTTTCCATGTCACCAGTTGTCCGCCGCGGTTAGTTTTCCCTTCGCATCCAGGAAGTGTAAATAATGCGCGATGTGGAAGGCGGTGGGCCGGCATGCGCAGTACGTGACCGAGCCAACGCAAGCGGTGCTGGATGATTATGCTCTGGAGACCAGGAATGTCCGCCCCCATGATCCTGCTTCTAACTTCCGCGTTGCTCACATGATGCTGCCACCATATACGAGCAATCGAACGCAAGCAGCGGTTGTTGAAAGTAGACAGTCGTCTCAAATCTTTCGATCGAACATGCCAGGTCACGCAGCCGCACACGAATTGTGGCATTGAACACTCGGTCTTTGAGCTTGAGACTGACATCGCGACGACGCCACATGTGTCTCAGGTTAGTAAATGCAAGACGAGCTTTGGCAAATCGCTGTGAAATTGCTTAACCAATACCACCACCAGCCGTAATGCAACTCCCGAGGTAAGTAAGGCTGGTAATCAGCTCCACGCTGACACTCGAAATGGTGAGCGTAGGCACAGGAGCCTGCCAACCCCGGAGCAGAATGCCGGCCACTCCATATCCAGCAATCCAATCAGTTACACCCGCCTCCTATTGGTTATCTGACTGGCTCGATTGGCCCGTCCGTTCACTGGTATGGCATTCATATCATAATAAGGTTAATTGGAAGAAGCAAAAGGTGGAATGCAGGAGTTCCACGAACAATGTGACTTCATCATGACGGACCATTGGTCGCTAGTGCGACTGATTCCAGGAGCCTACCGTTGTTACTACGTATTCCAGTCAGTTTCCTCATCTCATGTCACTGACTGAATTTCGAATGGTTTTATGTAACCAGTTGCAATGAATACAGACACCATGAATGGGGGTATTTGGTTGGTAGGTACGCAAAAAACGCCAGTTATACAAGGTAAGTGGTGCATCCTTAACTTTTGGCTCGGTATGACGTCAGATGGTTAGCGGAATTAAAGCTGAGCAGTGGCCCAAACTCCGATCTATACAGCGGCGGTGTGTACGCAATTCGGTAGTGCACGTTGTGTCTCAGTGAGCGCACTAAGTCTATACCTAACTCGTGCCCTGCATCAACAGGGCGCACAAGCACATACGAAAGGACATCACCTGAACGGGACGCGCGTACGGCCGTATTCTGGAAAAGTGAGTATACCATTTCACGGCAAAATGAATCCATAGCGCTTTCAAATTCCTCTTTAAGGAAATTATCTTCTTCTACAGATCCTTCAAGATGACCCATAAAGCTTTCTAGTTGAAACCAACAAGCGCAAGCACTTCTAAAAATTACTTGCTGTTCGTTGAGTGACCACTCCCAAACTAAGCAGATATTATAACATATGAGCACGAAGAGTAGGATGGTATTGTTTTATTTGGATTTGGTCACTCAATGGATTGTAGCATTTAGGAGAGTTCGTGTCCGCTTTATTCAACTTGAAAGCGTTATGGACCATCTTGAAAGATCTATAGAGGAACATGATTCCCTTAAGGAGAAATTTGGAAGCGCTGTGGATTCATTTGGTTAAGAAAAGGCATAGTCTGGGTATAGACATATTGATATTGTTAGCTATCAATCGATAAAGCATTGTCCAATCACTTAGAGGCTGGAGAATACGCAGGTGCGTGTATTGACTCTTTACATTCGCCGATGAGAGGGCACTTGAAATGACATACGAGAAGCAACCGTTGTCGATAATCGCGTGTGGCTGTTTCGTGATGTTGAAAACTGGTGTACGTATGTAGCTACACGTTTCCCCTTAAAAGTGCGATGCATACGTCACAGTGTGCGGTGACGTGCGTAGGTCTATTCGATAGCGTTTGAACATGGTTTGATTACGCGATTGAGAGCTCAAGCATTTGCATGTGTGTCAGTCGGTAAACCAGTAAAACCGCTATGTACTAATCAGGCACGAGTCATTCGCAAACATTTTGCTTGACAACGCAACAGGTGGTGGCGGTTTTAACATACTTCGCGGTGGCGCAAAATAGAGCAGAATTTCTTACATCCCATCGTAGCAAGTAGGTGTAAGCATGAAGCGTTCTAAGGAGGAAGAAAATTCTCCGATAGCCCGTTCGACGATTGACGGGATTATCTCACAGAGGAGCATTAAACTGGGCTTCAATGGACCTAAATAGCGGGAAGAAAAGTCAAGACAGACTGCCGTGTTTGTGTAATGTTCTAGCGCTTAGCAAATTAGGACGATATACCAAGTTATTCTCCACTAGGACTTGAGAGCAACGTAAATTACGTGACCGAAACCTTCCCAGGGACTAGTGAACCTTCGCGACATGACGCTTGCGTGCTAGTATATTCACATAGACTTCAAGTAGGAGGATGACTGTGGGCATTCACTGACCGAAAAAATATCCCTCAACCAGCGTTGGGGATGTGAAAACCGCATAATGCCGTCCATCGTGATCCAACTTGTTAACACTCCTAACGTTAACTGCACATGGTGTGATTTATCTCATCAGGGCCATATACCTCCATTTGCTATGGACAACGTGGTAGAAACCTGTTTCAGTTTGTAACCGAGCTGATGAAACGTTTGCAATTTGTGACGCACATTCATGTGCGGTTGGAGAACAATTGTATCACAGTCGACTGTTGTTCAAATGGACCCCTTGAACTATGGTGCTGTGCGGACTCAGAGTACTCGAATATTGCAGCCTTGTTAAAATCCTTGTAATCACTTCTAGCGGAGGAAAACCCTTTCGTCACAGGTCTGTAGCGATCAGGTAGAATAGAAAATGGGTGCTAAATCGAGGAGGATACGACAGTGCTTATTTGAGCCAACTGTGTCCCCCCCACTGTTCCGTCAACAAGCGACAATGGTTAACAGTTTTGTATATCCGTTCGATGCCAATGTCCCTTCCGGGTCTTTAGAACCTACTGAGTGACCAAGGTCGCAGTTTGTTAGGAAGAAAAATTTCGGCAAGATGTGTCGGTGTATCCTGTCACTGTCAAGATAGGTAGTTAGCATCTGGCCCATAACAAATTCAGGGATTCTGTGCTTGTTCGTAAGCTCAAGCAACAAACTGACTTTACGTCCCAAATGCTACTAAAGAATCTGCTCACTTGATGACACCTTGGGTTTATTTCCACATTCACACCCTGTGTTTGTAGAGGTAATTTTGCATGTACACAAAATACGGCATCGCCTCCAGTAATTATAAACAACAAAAAACCGAGAACAAGCCGGATATTTTGGATCTTGGTTGTAGTCTCAATATACCTCACTTAGAGTCATCGACCACTTGGATAACTTGTCAATGAGGCCACTAACCATAGCTGTTTTTCGAACGGACAGATTCTGGAGGAAGTTTTGGCGCAAGAACGATGCATCAACCAACTGAATGAAGCGATCAAAGCTAAGGACGATCCTCTGAAAGTGGTCCAGACCAGACTTCACATGCGAGAATTCAGACCAACTATGGAATTGTGCAAGGATTCCCCACAGGCCAGGTAAGTGGACGAGTTTACGAACATGAGGGACAATATACGGGGTCAAGTGGGTGCATTTGTAGTTAACAGGAGGCGGTTGTTTTGACGGAACAGTGGGAAGATCAGCCAGTGTGTAAGGATGAGGTAAAAAGCAAACTACTTTTTATCCGGAGTTGAAACTTTTTTTTAATTTACTGGGGCCAGTCAGCAACAGTGAAGGCGAATTTTCGACTTTCTGTCACCTGATTAGCTTGCATTGCAAATTGCTTTCCTACAAATTGTCATGAGCCACCGCGTCCATTAATCAATTATCATTAGGCCTCTCTATAACACGATGGGCAAAGTATGCCGTACGATACAAATAGTCTGGCGCTGCTAAGGTGGCACCTGCAAACAGCACCAATGGAATATGGGGCCAGAAAAAAATGCACATAGAACCTTCAGAAGGTAGCGGCCAAGCAATTTTCGCCCAGTGTGACAGCTTAAAATAGTTGTCTCTGTTAGACACATGTAAATGCACAGCACTCTCTCGAAGGACAGGAACGATGCGCATATATATATATATATATATATATATATATATATATGGTTGGCGGCATCCGGTTTCGGATTTGCCTATCACTGTGGCCAGCCACAGGACGCCTGCACCTACAGAGGGACCATGGGTGGCTTGCGCTGCACCATCCACAGCTCCATCCACACACCCCATCTCCAGGATAAACCTGAAGGAATAAGACCGGAAGGCATGTGGATGGGAGCTAAGTTTCATCAATGGAGCTGGCCCACACTCCTTCACAGGCAAACACAAGCATGCTGTATTTGGGGAATCAATCGCACACAATGCGGCGGCTGAACCGTAGTCCGCTCCACACTGAGTACATGGAACCACTGTTTGATCCTAACACGGCCACAAGGACCTTGCACCCGTCCCCTCCAGCAACGACCAACTGTCTCCTAGAGCCAGTATGGACGAGGTAGTGGATAATAGACAGGTAGTCACCTTGTAAACATGCAGTATATATATATATATATATATATATATATATATATATATATATATATATATATATATATATATATATATATCGCACTGTGCCCCATGCTGAGGCTGATGTTGCATTCTTGATGCTTCTTCACCGCAGTTGGGCTAAACCAACTTACACTTAAACTAGGTCATTTTAAGCAGGCTAAATTTCAGTCCAATTTAGTTGGTTTGTTCTGCCTACCTGAATAATCTTCCATTAACTGACCACGTTGCTTTCACTAACTGCGCTTATCTTCGGTAACTTTGTTGCGTTTGTAGCAATTTTAGCTAACTTATGGACATTTTTCCCTATCACGGATTCGTTACTAAACAAATTAATTCATATGTTAATTTAGGGAAGAGTTATACCACTGTATCTGTAAGCATTAGTGCATTTGTTTGATTTCATCTTGCCGTTTCAGGTGATTGGCTGTTGCTTGCTATCCCCAATGTGGCTGCGCTTGATGTGCATGTTGACAAGGTGCCTACCTGTCTATTACCCACTACCTCGTCCATACTGGCTCTAGGAGACAGTTGGTCGTTGCTGGAGGGGACGGGGTGCACGATCCATGTGGCCGTGCTAGGCTCAAAGAGTGGTTCCATGCACTCAGTGTGGAGCGGACTACGGTCCAGCCACCGTCTTGTGTGCGCTTGATTCCCCAAATACAGCGTGCTTGTGTTTGCCTGTAAAGGAGTGTGGGCCGGCTCCGTTGATGAAACGTGGCTCACATCCACATGCCTCCCGGTCTTATTCCTTCGGGTTTACACTGGATATGGGGTGTGTGGTTGGAGCTGTGAATGGTGCAGCGCAAGCCACCCATGGACCCTATGTAGGCGCAGGCGTCCTGTGGCTAGCCACAGTGACAGGTAAATCCGAAACCGGATGCCGCCAACCATATATCGCACTGCCTTGTGGGTCAGGCTATTGAGTCAAAGGCTCCGCGTGGAGTCCGTCAAGCAAACCTCTGAAGCATAACAGCCCCCTCGCATGCGATTGCCTAATAACGCAATCGTATGCCTGCGCGCAAAGCACTCAGAATCGGGTGCTGGAACGTGCCCACATTACTGGACCGGAACTCAAGCGAGCGACCCGAGGAACGCATTGCACTCATCGCGATGGAACTAGTACGCTACAACATCGACATAACGGTGCTCAACGAGACCCGGATCAGCGGATGCGAATGGTGACAGGGTGCTTTCACTGTGTGCCACTCACGGCCTGACGATCACGAACACTCGGTTTCCACTAAGTGTGAGTGATATAGCAATTTGGACGCACCCACGGAGTGGTCACGCTCACCTGCTCGACTATGCCATCGTACCTCAGCGTGATATGCGTGAAGTGCATATGACATGTGTTCTGCGTGGACTGAGTGTGGCACTGAGCACAAATTGGTACGGGCCAATCTGTACTTATATTCGGGTAAATCAATGTATGTCACTCGTGTCGCGAATCGGCGTAAATTTAACAGTCACTCGATACTGTGGCAGAAACGTATTAATCTAGATAAAGCGATGACTACACGGCTGTGTGATGTGGAAGACATAGCCACAGTGGGCGACCTGTGGCACTACATTCGCGACCAGATAATAACCAATGCCGATGGGACTGTTACAGGAAGATAGCTTTCACTCAGCTCTCAGGCCGAGAGCAGTGGCGAAACAGTGGATCGATGTACAATTAGAGAGCGAACTCAAGTACAGATAAAAATGCGAATCTATGTGGAAGTAACGGCAAATTGGACCATGAACATGAGCCGCTTGATTTACGTTAATTGATATTAATAAGTATCCCTAACTTTGTTATGTTGGTGGTTTCCTACAGCTTATGTTTTGTGCCATGCTCTCATAAAATGGAATCCTTAGCTCCGACTGTTTTCTTGGCGTGCTCATTTCCTTGCGGGATTCAACTGGTTGGGGGCGGAACAACAGATTTCAGTCAGATTATCAGTATTGTCAGCTGAAACTACAACATATTTATGGCGACGGTAGGTAAACTAAATCAAGATGGCTATCCTAGCAAAAGATCTAAAAGCAATTTTGCTTCAACTGCAGCATCAACTCGAGGCGGCACAGCCGCATATGATCGAGTCTTTCACTCGAACGCTATCGCTGCAGTATATAGCCCTCCACAACTGTGAAAAGCATTCAGCCGATGCGATAGTCAACAATGTCAATCAGTTCGATTTCAGTCCCGATTAAGGGATGATTTTCGTTGCATACTTTAGATGTTATAAGGATAATTTCTAGACGGAACTAGCAACTCTTGACGATGCATCAAAAGTGCGACCATTGTTCCACAAACTCGGAAATGTGGAGCAAGACAGATAGATCAATAACGGTTTGAACAAGACGGCACAGGATTTCAGATCTGACGAAATGTTTTCCCGATTGTCGAAAAGTTCGGCGATTCAGCATCGCTTTTCAAAAATCGAGACATAGGACTGAAGCGGTGCAAAATGGACACCGACGGTCTCAAAGCAAAATGCTCAAAAGTGAAGCAAGGGTGACAAAAAGTCCACCAGGAAACTCTAAAGGAAGATAAATTTGAAAGTGCGATACTCGTGCGCAGCCTGCGATATTCTAACGATGTAGAGATACAGAGCAGAATATTAGGGCCCCTATACCATTTCATAGGCATGTTAGCGCATTGTACCAACCTTTTAGCATCGCACATTTTCGAAATCCCGTGCTGTGCATTCAAGTTCGCGAGGCTAAGATCGATGTTTTGGAGTCGTTGACACTCTCATTGGTCATGGGACGTTAGCCAAGAGGTACCGCTTGGTAGCCTTGAGCACAAGCGACAGATAGTCCAAGTAAAGTGGTCGAGCACCACACTTTGTGTTGCCCTGATGCGCGTCTGGAGGAAACCCTGATAATTTTTCTCCAAACTGAAACCATCCAATTGCATACTTGTGATGCCTGTCTAAGGAGGAGACCCTAGCTACCACATTATCCGAAGGTTACTCCGTAACCAGTGCGGACAGACATACTAACTACCACATGAAGCGGTCTATACCTATTGATCGCTAGCCACTACCTGGTGGTGACTTATTTCAGCGGCCTAACCATGGTGGCGTAGACAGACATTCTTCTAACTGGTATTCCGCAGTCCCTTAGGTGTGAGGGAGTCAGGCACGCCTGCACTCGCGATTGGTCAGGCATGCGCCGTGGCTAGAACACTGCACACTCTAAGCTGAATCGGCAATGGCCGCCAGGCGGTGGACAATTTTGTGTGATTGTTACTTTTTGCGAAGACCATGGGGAATATTGTTCCCATTGATGTAAGTGGAACAACCTGAAGCTGAACAACGAATGTTCTATGGGTGCTTACTTCTAGCACAGTTGATGAATAAACACGAAGTAAGATGATTACAAGTGTGGCGGTGACATGACATTAGTGAGTGTTCGTTTGTCTCCACACCCATGGGCGACTTTGTTAATCAGTTATCGCTTCAGTGTCTCCATGTATGGCGTTATTTAAAAGTCATAGGAAGTATGCGGAACCTATGTATTCATAGTATAATTAGATTTTACTTCCATATGGTCGCCCATAGGTGTTGAGACGCTTTGACAAGTGGCTCTCCAAATGGCACCATTACAAGCATAGCCAATGCAGATGGAACCTCCCTATTAATTCCATGGACCTGAATGCTATCCTCATGGAATCGGCATTACGCAACAAAGAAACACCTAAAGGGGCTACAAAGACTACCGTAATTATAAATGCCACATCGTCCTGCAAGAAAAAACGCAAAGGCCGGTACTTAGTGGCGACGCACGCATTTTACTCTGGTAATTCAGGTTAGTACTTGGAACAGACAAACAGTGTTGTCTCACACATGGGCGTTCCTACAGCATGTTTACAATCAGTTACAAATGGCAACCACGCCCACCAATCCTGCTATGGACCATTGGTTCAGACAGTCTTAGAAGCAGTCGTGTGCGCACGCTTTCACACACGTTGTTATCGATTTGGCAACTACTGAGAAACGTT